ATTACAGGTATCCTAACCCAATCATTAGTAACAGTTGCTGTAATACGAATATTACATAGGTGATTATCCAAATTTTCGCTGTCAATGGGATTTGAATACCCAACCTACCACTTGGAGGGTTGACAGCCTGAACACTTCACTAGGTTGCCACACCCCCATTTTTTTTATTTCTGTATTTTGTTTTTTCTTGTTTTGAAATTAAAAATTAGCAAAAAGAGTATTAATACTAAATAATATTAATAACTTTTGAACATATAACTTTTTAATTAAAAAAACTTATTATTTTATGTTAATTTATTCTGATATTATTAATTTTGTAATAACTTTAATGTTAATTGATTAATACAAAAAATACACAAAAAAATATAATAGCTGCTCAAATTTAATTAGTTTAACTAAATATTAAAGATTATTTGTAAAAGAAAAAACTTTTATAAGTTACTAAAATGATAATTTGATAAATTTTTTTTTCTTACTTCAAAAGATTTTTTCTATTTTATAAATAGAATTATGATTTTACAATTATAGAGAATTGAATATTCATTAATATTAAATATTGAATATAGAAATTCAAGTTTTTAATTATAAATATATAACATTATTCTTTAAAATAAATATCATCACACCTTTTTTTAAATTGTAATAAGCATATATTAATATTATATATATATAATAAAAAGACAGAATACAACAAAAATTATCTATCTTGTTCAAATATATTTAATAGTTAATATTAAAAGCAGCAAACCTGAATTTCTTTAGAATAATTATAAATTTAGTTAAAAATAATTGCCTAAATAAGTTCAAACAATGTAATGACTATATATATTTCAAATTAAATATTTGTATATTGACATGAACATAAATCATATAAGTACAAGCTTATTTTTTATTAAACCAAGCTTAAAAATCAGCAACCTATAAATGTAATTAAAGCATATGTAAATTTAATTTTAATAAATATACATAAAAAAAATACACTCAAAGTTAATTTCAAATCAACCAATAAATTTATATCATATTCATAAGCTTATTTCCTATTGCTTTTCACTTTAACACAAGAATAAAGAAAAAAACAATAGGTCTATATATGTATTTTTTAAATGCCTATCACATTTTTTATGCCAATATTTAAGGATCTATCATTTATTATACCCAAAGCTCATTAATAAAACATATTAATCACTATATTTATACACATATATAAAGTTTTAACCACTCTTATTACTAACTTTATTCTTATGTATTAGCATTTTTTATGCTTTAAAACCTCTTTAACATAGCTTATAAATTACTTATTTATTGTTAAAATTTGTTATGTTAGTTTTTTTTGAATAACTCAGCTGTATTTATTGAATTAGTAATTATATATAGTTTTATAGTCACATATTTTACATAGAATTTTCATCTAAGTGTGGATTATTTTGCATAAGTGACTGTTGGTACTTCTTCGAAGATAGTGATAAGTTTAATGTTTATTTTTACTTGTAAAATGTTATATTCTTAAAATGTATTTTAAACTGTATAAATACAATTGTAAATGATTAATTAATCAAAAGAAAGTTATTCTATATCATATGCTCGCATATATATACATAACAAATAATTTTATATATTGCAAATATGATTGGTTAAGAGTAGGATGAACATAGATCATTTTTCATATGACTTGAATAGTATAATAGATTTTTATATAGTAAATTAAAATGTGTTATTAATAAAATTTTTATTTTTTAATTAATTTTTATTAAAATTTAATAATATATAGATTTAAATAAGTTATTTATTATATTAAAATTTTATAAGATGTTTAATTTAAAAAAATATATTTGTATATATCTTGAATTTTCCTAGGACACTCTATGTTTTTCCTAGGTTACACAAAAAGTCAACTTTAATCGGTTAATTTCTGAAAAACTATAAGAGAATTTTAATAGTAAATTTTTTTATCTAATCTTTAAAAATTCATATATCGATGAATTTTGAACCAATTTTAATAATTTTATTACTGTTAGAATCACAAGAACCTACTCTACAACTTTATTTAAGAGCTTAAAAAATATTTAATTAGTAAAAACTTTCATAATTAAAATTATAAAAAAAATATACCATCAAGTTTATATATAATTTTAAAATAGTACACCCTACCTTTAATATTTTCCTTCCTTATTTAAGATTTGATTTGATAATCCGGCCGGGTTATCAAATATAAATTTTAAATTTTAAAAAATTTAAATTTTCTTATTAAGATTTGATAACCTGACCGGGTTATGAGAAACCAAAAAATTTGCATGGCCCAAACCATCTTAGTTAAATAGCGATAGAGTAAATACAATGGATTGTGATTATATTAACTTTCAGTGACATGAATGACTTTTAAAATACTTTACGCAATTTTCTCTTTTCGTTTGTTGTTAGGTTAATATGAAAACTAAATTTGTTAATTTGTTAATGACATTGAAGTTGCTACATAGGATCCCGTTATTCATAACATACAATTATATTGTTATACATAACTAAATAAATAATAAAATGCTACATAATATGAACTATGTAAAAAAAACTAATCGTATTGGGTAAGTCTTATGACTTGTCTGGAAGACAATCAAATTCGGTCTTTAGTCTTTCTCTCAAAATCCTTCGCAAAATTTTTCCTGATGGATTTTTTGGAATTTGGTCAATAAAAAGGACACCACCTCTTAATTTTTTATGTGGTGTTACTCGATCACTTATATATTTTTGTATTCCGCTTTTTAAATGTGATGTTTTTTCGTGTCCCGGTTTGGTTACTATATAAGCAGTTGGATATTCGGTTAAATGTTGTGTAGAATAATATCCTATAACTGCTGCATCGGCTACCGCGGGGTGAGTAAGTAAAATTGATTCGAGTTCGGCCGGTGCCACTTGGTATCCCTAAAATAAATAGTTAAGTGGTATATTTATTTATCAAGAAAATGAATCTACGTTTTTAAATTTTTGATTTAATACTCTACCATATATTTGATCAATTCTTTAACACGATCAACAATAAAAAAATTCACTGGTTTTTTAAAATATTTCAATTAAGAATTAAATCAAACAATGTATTAAAAAAAAAAGACTAATGATTAAGTTCAGTTACTATTTTCATCAACACGAGCGATGTCTCCCGTACGGAAAAATCCATCTTCATCAAAGGAAGCTTTTGTGGCTTCTTCATTATTATAATATCCCTACTTACAGAAATTCATTACTGTTTGTAATAATACTAAACCGTCAAGTCAAAATTACCTTCATGACATTTGGGCCGCGAACACACAGCTCTCCTTCGTTAGATCCTAACTCTAAAGTTAAAGCTGAATTTAATATATATTTGATATTTAAATGTGATTATAAAATATGTTGCCTACCGAGCCCCTCTATCGGCACTATCTTGGCTTCTATGTTCGGAAGGAGATCACCGATTGCTCCTGTAGATTAATTGTTTAGATGTAATTTCTAAAAGGTAAAAGAAAATACATCAGTCTTTTTAACAATTATTAATACCTGGAACAATGTTATCTGAACTGTTCAGATGGGTTACTGGTGATGTTTCGGTAAGCCCTAATAATAATAATAATATTATTATTATTATTATTTATTATTAATCATAAATTTGATTTTCAAGTTAGAAAAATAACAAATCAGACAAATTACCGTATCCTTGTTTAATCGGTATTTTAAGAATGTCATAAAATTCTTCACTCTGCTCTTTGCCGAATGGAGCTGCCCCACTGACCATCATTTTCAAACTTGAGATATTGTAATTTTTAACAATAGGATTCTTAGTCAACGCAAGTATGATCGGTGGAACGACATGAGCGTAATTAATTTTATATTTTTGAATACAAGAACAAAAAGTTCCCAAATCGAATCTGGGAATGACGATGGTAGAACCTCCCTTTAAAATTTATTGACATAAAAAAATCCAAATTAATTAAAAAACAAAAAAAATCCGAACGCATAAATAATCTCCAGAAACTTACTTTGATGACAGTATAAAAGACAAGAACGGTCAATCCATAGATATGAAAAAAAGGCTATAATAGAGCATTGAGGTAATTTCAGAAAATCAAAATTTTATAATAGTTTAATACTCTAAGTAAATATATTCACCAACACTCCCATAAAAATATCATCCTCTCCGGAATCATCTACAATAGAAATTTGCGCCACATTTGCAACGATATTTGTATGAGTAGTTTCTACCCCTTTTGGTTTTCCAACAGTTCCAGAGCTGTAACACAGGAAGGCTGTCGTTGTTCTAGCTTCTTCTGGTGTATATGAGACTGGCTCAATCTCATGATCACCGACTAGTGAACAGTAAGGGTAAAATCCACGGACTTCTTTTTCTCCAAACAAAAAAATTTTAGATTTTGGAATATTAGCTTCTTCTGCTGCTTTTTCAACGGTATCAAGGTAGTTTGGGTGTGCAAATATTATAGATGCGCGAGAATCAATCAATTGAAATGCAAGTTCCTTCACTTTATACAAAGGATTAGATGGGGATACTATGCCACCTGAATAGATAAACAATATATTTATATTTGAATTCATAATTATAAACCTAATTGAAAAGATTCAAACTGTAATTATTTTAAACAATTAAAAGTTACCAGCCGCAATCGCACCAAAAACCACTGTATAGTAATCCACCTATAAATAATTGTAAATATGATCCAATTCAACAAATAATACTATTTTTGAAGAACAAAGAAAGAAATTCATGGTGTTATTTACTTGATTATGTGAACAAATTGCTAAAACATCACCACGTTTAAATCCAATTGCTTGTAATCTAGCAGCTAACTTTTTGGAATCACTTTTTAATTCGCCAAAGGTCACTTTCTTATCAGTAGTCCCATCAATCAATATAACTTTATCATTAGAAATTCCATTTGGATTACTTGTCCCATATTGATAAATTCCAACTCCAGGAATATCAATATCTGAATATTTGGATTTGAAGATCATTGGTGCGAAAGAAAACTTTTAAGGTCCGCAAAACTTTTATACAAAAGGTATTAAATGTGATGCTATCGTGTAACTTTCATTCATCGATTTCCTTTGGAAGAGTTGTACTATTCATACGTATTGATATGCTACACCTAATTCAGTAGTACTAATCTCGATTACATATTAATATTGTATAGTATAAGATCAAATGTTATATTATCTTTATTGCATTGCATATCGATAATCTTTTGAACTAAACTAAATGAAGGTTTCTGTAATACTAAAAGTCGTTCAACCTTTATTTATTAAAAACAACTTTATATAATTCTGATATTAGGTTATATTTATTAATTTATCTGATAATATAGACTAAGTATACATTCATCTGACAACATATTTAATATCACCCTTTGAAAATATTTGGCATAAAAATATTTAATTGACTATTGACAAGATATCTGTTAATAACAGTGTTTGGTATTTTAGATCATATCCAACCTTATATGACCAAGGTGGTTATAGTGTAACAGTGAATTCTAAGTCAATAGGTCATAAGGTCATAGCCTATAATTAGCCAATAAGGCATAACAGGTTATAGACCATAGTTAATAACAATAAAAATTCGTAATTCATTGCTAAAACATTTCTTGTGAAATTTGAGCTGAATGCCTTTTAATTACTATTTTATCCTAATCTTAACCTGGCTATTGTTTGTTTTTTTAAAAAAAAGATTTTTTGATTTAATTAGAGACAAAGTTGGCATGAACCAGTTAATGGTCAATTTTGACCTGACCAATTAATAGACCAGACTAATTAGCCAATTTGACTGGACCACTTTGACCAGAAACTCTTTGACCATTGACTAGTAAATTCTTGGTCAACCAACAATTTAATCAACCTAGAGAGTAGAGACGCATTAAACTGCAATAATAATTTTTTTTTAACTTTAATATTTGCTACTATGAAAATCGTATACTTAAAGCCTACGTACAATAGATCCAGGATATAGTACACAGATGAGCATTTATACTGTAGTAAAGTAAACTCTAAAATGTATATAGGCATGTAAGGATTAGAACTGCATAAAATTTTCTTAATTGTTTAACCATTTAACCGTTTAATTTGGCTGGCATTAAAATAATTCCGGCCACGACCAATATAATTCTGCCCGGAACTATGGAGCAATTTTTAAACGGTTAAACGGTTCCAATCCCTATAGGCATGTATATACTTGCCACTCAAATTCTAGTTTGGGTTTGTTTATGCTAGAGATGTGAACTGTGAATTACAATACATATAAATAGACTGATAGTTCGTACTTCTAGTTTATGCCCAAATACCAAACTCTGACAAACTAATTTTTTTAAAAACTTTATTAATAATCTTTGTCGCGGATGATGCTGAAATCCACGTGATCCGTGGCTGTACGCGAACCACCGTAGCTAGTGATGCGAACTGCTCGGCTCGGCTCGGCTCACGGCTAACATTTACTAAGCTGAGCTGATCCTTCGGCTCTACATCCATCTATAAGCCGATTACCCTCAAGCCGAGCCATTCATAAGCTGATCACCCCCAATCTGAGCAGTTTATAAGTCAATCACCAGGCGTCATTAGTCTTTTATTGCTTAAACTGATTTATTTAATACATTTTATTTATTTAAGGGTTTGCAATATATTATAATTATGTATAAATAAAGAAGTAAAAAAAAAATAAATTAAAAACAAAAATAAATTAAAAACAAAAATAAATTAATTTATAATGTTCTGAATTAAAATGCAATTGGGTCACTAGTTATTGATATACAAGGAACTCTTTCTGCTGATCCCTAATTTAGGAAAAAACTGAAAAGTACAAAACTTAAAATACAACAGAAAGTAGTATAGCAAGCACTTATTATAGTATTAGAAAAAGCTTCTAGTATCAGAAGCCATCATTGCTTTATTAGAATACAAAGG